GAAAGAAAGGAAGGGAGAAAGAAAGAAAGAGAGAAAGAAGGAAGGAAAGAAAGAAAGAGGAGGAAAGGGGAGGGGAAGGGAAGGGGAAGAAAGATGACATAGAAGGAAAGACATAAGTGGCAAGTGGTTGGCTAATATACCTTAGTGAACTGTTTCAGAAGAAAATTCAGCACAGTTCCAGCCTGTAGCTCCAAAAGCCTCCATATCTTGCCTTGTTCCCGTTCCTTGATTTTTGTCCCCTCTTCTTTCATTGACAGAGCAGCAGGGCAACTGCCTCAGGTGTGTGCAGTCATTTACTGCCCTGGAAATGTGCATCCAGAACAGAATATCATCCTCCCGGCAGCCGTCCATTCAGCCTCTGCATGGCCACCCAGTTTCCTTTCCTAAGATGTCCCAAGACCTGAGCCTTCTCAGTTTGGTGCGTGCTTCACTATGGCATCAACTCTCCAACTTCTTCCGTGCCCTCCAAGACCATATTGATAAGAAAACAAAAATCACCTACTCCCGAGCTGAGAGAGGAAGACTTCTTTTTTCTCTGTACAGCTTTTTATATGTTTAAATTGCTTACCATGTCATATGGATAACCTATGAAAAAGATTTCATGTGTATATGTTTTTAAATCACTTACGCTACTTGTTTGTAAAAACAAAAGTAAATTTTAAAAATGCCACAGACCTCTTCTTGCAAGTTAAAGAAAAAATTTACCTTCCTGTGTAATAAGAAATATCATAAGTCACACCTGTACTCCAAGCTATTTGGGAGATTGTGGTGGGAGCATCACTGGAGCCCAGGAGTTCTAGGCTGCAGTGAGCTAAAACGGTGCCGTTGCACTCCAATCTGGACAACAGAGCGAGTCATCATCTCTTTAAAAAATAATAAAAATAATTTTAAATATTTAAAAAATATATTGAAAAGAAATAAAGAAATATCACAAGTGAGCTATAATTTGTCCCAAAAGAGAATATGGATCTTTTCAAAGAGCAACATCAAAATGTCCAAGGCTAGTCACCATTTCTTTCTTGAGAACATTCACAAACCACTGCTCACCCTGGACTTCATCTTAAAAGCAGGTGCCACAGAGTTCCCTCTGCTCAACCCATGCTCACATCAGCAGTCCCCAAGCATGGACCTCACCCCTGGCCAGCCTTCCTGCAAGCCCACACGGAAGAGGGGAAGTGGGTCACACGGGGAGCCCATGCTATGAGTGGACGTGCCCTGTAGACGGAAGTGGAAGGGTAGGGCTGGAATGGCTTCTTCTTCCTTATTCCTTTATATTCTGTCAAGTTTTAGCAGCTCTCTCAACTGACTCATGCATGGACTTGTTCTAAAAGAAACTCTGTTAGAGGCAGCAGAGGTCTGAAGGTGCTTTAGTTCCACCCCTACAGAAGAGTGACGGTCCTGGACAGCCAGCAAGTTGACATTAGAACTCGAGCTAGAACCCAGAGCTTGCTCCCAGACAAATTCTCCTTCACCAGCAATATCTGATTTCCCAGAATCACCCTTCATGGCGTTCCCTGGACCAATTTTTTTGGTCCAAAAACAAGACAACTATGCCATTTCTATTTCTACACTATAGCTCATACAACTTAAATGGAGGACCCTGCTGTAAGAAGCATCCTCCATCACCAAAGCAAACTGGTTGATTCCTTTTTATTTCTCAAATAAGATTGGAAAGGGTCATTGTCTTGATTAGCATTTCTAAGCCTTGACACTGATGACATTTTTGGTGGGATCATTCTTTGATGTGGGACCAGCCCATGCTCTGCAACAGGTATTGTGGCATTCCTGGGCTCCACCCACGAGGCACTGGGAGCATCTCCTCCCTTCCACTTGTGACAAGCAAAAATGTCTTCTTTGGACATTGCCAATTGTTCCCTGAGGGGGCAAGACGCCCCTGGTTAAGAGCCGCTGATCTAGGGGAAACTCAGTTATTTGGTTGTTATTGAAAATACTTATCAAGAAAAAAAATTGTTCACATTAGGGCTTTATAGACAAATAAAATGGAAAACTGAATCCAAGGCATTCCTCCTCATCAGCCAGAGCCCAGAACAGCATGCAAGGGGTCCTAGAAAGATAGGCGAGGGCCTCAGTAAACCCTGTGACATGGCAGTCCATGTGTATTACTCACCTTTCCACGTGAAGGCAAAAGGATATTTGAGTCAGGGTTGAAAGCATACTGATAAGAGCAGAACATGGCCGGGCACGGTGGCCCATGCCTATAATCCCAGTACTTTGGGAGGCCAAGGTCGGTGAATTACTTGAAGTTAGGAGTTCGAGACCAGCCTGGCCAACATGGTGAAACCCGGTCTCTACTAAAAATACAAAAAAAAACTAGCCGGGCGTGGTGGTGTGTGCCTGTCATCCCTGCTACTCAGAAGGCTGAGACAGGAGAATCACTTGAACCTGGGAGGTGGAGTTTGCAGTGAGCCAAGATGGCAACACTGCACTCCATCCTGGGCAACAAAGCAAGACTCCATGTCAAAAAACAAATGGCAGAACATAAGTTCATGACCGTCAGATGAATAGTGTTGAGTGGAGAGAAACCAGAATGATGTGGGGTCCTTAGAGAAAGCCTGGCATTGTCTATTTGAATAATTGCTTACAAGCCTTGGACTAGCTGGTATCCTACTCAGCCTCTTTACTGAGAGGATGGGAGTATCACAGGAATTAGACATGGAGACTAGGAGTGCCTCGTGTAAGACACCTTGATTTATAAGTTGAAGATCTTGGAGAATTCTTGTCTTAAGTATTTTACAGTAATGTTGAGAGCAGCATGGAAGGTTCTATTTCTACTTTGAGAGGCTTGGCCTACTTGATTTGGCCTGTGTCAGTGGAGTGACAGCTCAAAGGCAGTTGGGTATTTTAGTTAGCATAGTTTGTACTTGAGGCTTTAAAGAGGGGTGAGGGATTTTGACAGAAGCAAGAAAAGTGTGACGGTCAATGAGAGCCATGAAAGGGCAAAAATGCAAGGTGGGGACCCAGGGCCTCAAGGGTGAGACCCTCAGGGGAGCAAAACTCCTGATCGTCCAGTTGGAAAGTATCTCTCCTTGCAAGAGGTTTACTGGGTACTGGAACTAAGAAGCTGTGCCGGGTAGGGAGGATCCTAGGAAGAGAGAAAAAGGTTCTGATAAAGGCAGCACGTGGATGCTTATCCAGTCCTGCCACAGGCATGGCTTGTGTGCTCTTATGAGAGTGGTAAGAGGTGTTCATGGTGAGATGTGTTGCTATGGGTCCATTCGGAAGGAAGTGGGGTGCCCATTGGTGGGGAAGATTCTCTCCTCTTATGAGTTAGTGCAGACACAAGTGGGAGCATCCCTCCAGAAAGTCACAAAAACATGAATGTTTAAAGTCTTGCTCCCTTTCGTGTTTTAAAACCAGGCAATGCCAAGTCCAGCATTCTTTTGATTTATATCTGCACGTGTGCCTACTGAAGGTGGGGGGGGGTTGGAATGAGCAGATTGGCCTGGTTTGCTCCCTTCGGGTCAGTTAAGTTGTGCCACTATCAGTTTTCACTGTGTTGATTTGGCCTTTTCTCTGATGGAGTCATCAGGGTGTTGGGCTAGCGTACGCTTTCAGAGAGAGGAGCGTTCTGCCTACTTACATTGGGTTTTGGGGTCATATCTCTGATTTCCAATTATAAGCCATTAACACAATTAATCATAAAAGCAAAAGTGGCTCAGTCATCAAATATAAGACCAGATCATATATTTTGTTAAGCTTTAGCACCTCTCTCAACTGACTCTCTCAAAGTGTCATCCTTCCTAACATTTTCTCACGTACGTCTACAGAGGGAGGCAAATTCATCTCTGTGTGGCCTGTCATCTTTTATCTTTGACCAATCAGTTTCTCTCCCCTATAATTTTGGCCTGCATCAGGGTGTTCTGATTTCTTTGAAAGTCCTCATGAAGAGTAGCCCATCTGGCTTTTTCAAACCATAAGGTGGTGTCTCTGGTAGCCACTAACAGCTGCAAAAATTGATACAGTTCAGGGAACCCAGGAAAACATGCCCCAAGGACCAGACTGAATGGATTACTAAACTCTTCTCCATTCTCACTGTCTGAAAAGCCCCTAACAATAGGATACGGACCTGAGCGAGTCCTTATTCAGTTGGGCCCTTGGGCCACAGGCCTTCCATCAAGATGGGGAAGCACCAATAAATCAGGATGAGGTAGGGAAGTGGCAGCAGGGGAGACTGGGGAGTAGGGGCTAAAGGAGAAAAAAAGTCCCTCAGACTAAAGAGGAATATTGGGTGTGGGGGGAAGCATCAGAGCAGGGCTTATAGAGGGGTGTGGGGAGGAACGGGTTGTGAGGTTTTGTTCAGGGTGGAGAAGTAGTGGGAGGAGAGGCTGGTAGTGAGGGAGACATCCTTAAGAGACTGCTCAGTTTGAAGCAGATTAGAGACACTTTCTCACGTTTCAGCCTCCTTGTACCAAGCAAAATTAGCTGACCTTTGAAGAGAGGAGATCTTAGAGCCCCAGAATTTGAGGGGGACTTATAGATGGACACGATTAGGGAGATTCCAGGTGCCTCAGAGGGGTCACTGCAGTCCAAGTTGCCTTCAGGGAATTCTTGGCATTTTTAGAGATAATGAACTAAATTCTCATCACAGTGGAAAACATATCATCGGAAGGGATTTTTAAAGGGGGTGAAAAGTAGGTTGAGAAATCCCCATTGCACCAAGGTTAAACAGAAGCCAACTACAAAACAAAGCCAGAAGAGCACTCAAGCGAAGAATCAAAATCAAGTCCTTACCACGCTGCCAGGGACGGATATCCAGAGCACGGGGCCAGGAGCTAGACTCATGGAGGAATCACTGATCAGTCACAGAAGGAGCTTGATGACCTCAAGGGGCCTCAGTCCCTGGGTGGAGAAGACAGGCCTCCAGATGGGCTTCCAATCTCATCCACGTTACAGCAGCCAACTGTCAAAGATAAAGACCTGACTTTGTTCAGGCTATGGCAGTAGGGAGAGCACCCAGATCCCCAAACCAGAGTGTCCTGGCAGGTGGTTTTGTCTAGACTTTCATAGGGAGGAGTGAACCAGTTCTAGATGGGAGTGATTTTACAGCTGGGATGTTTTTGTCATCAGGAGGCCTCTGTCAATCAGCTGGACAAGGAATATCTAGCTCTGTTTCTAGCTCCTTTGGAGGGACAAATAGTTCAGCTAATCATTTAATACACAAAGAATGGTAATTTGGAGGTTCTGTATGTGTCCTTATCACAGGAGACAGGGGGTCAACCATGACTCTTACGGGAATCACAAGAACGAGTAAGGGCATTTATGAATGGACCTCCTGGTCTGCTAGGGCTGCCATAACAAAGTACCGCAGAGCCGGGGCTTAACCACAGAGATGCATCATCTCACCGTGCTGGAGGCTGGAAGTCCCAGATCAATGCATGGACAGGGCTGGATTCTTCTCTGGCCTCTCTCCTTGGCTTGTATGTGGCCATCTTCTCCCTGTGTCCCCACATGGTCTTTTCTCCGCGTCTGTCTGTGCCCTCATCTCCTCTTCTTATGAGGACAGCTGTCAGGTTGGATTAGGGCCCACTCTAGTGACTTCATTTTACCTTAATCACTTCTTTCAAGACCTTCTCTCCAAATACGGTTACACTCTGAGTTACTGGGGGTTAGGACTCCAACATCTGAATTTTAGGAGGACACAAGTCAGTCCATGACAGCGGGTCTTCTCTAAGTCTCGTGGGGAAGAGTGGTTCTTTGCAGAAAGTCATTTCCTGGAACACAAAATTGTGGGAGACATCTGACATACAAGTGTGGGCGATTGCCCTTGGCTGTTTTCCAGAGGTCCAGGGCTCAGGGCAGCCCTGCACTGTCTCGGGGTCCCGAAGGAGTCCCCTCCATTTGCTGTGCTCCACCCCAAGCCTCCACGGGCTGATGGGGGAGGGGTGGGAAAGAACTTGCAAGGGAACTGAGACCAACTGAAAAAGGAAGGAGAAGTAAAGAAGACGTCTCTGTCTCCGGGGCTGAGGGATACAGGGGAAATGTGGTTTGATGTTGACAAAGGGGAGGGGGAATGAGAGAGCCACACAGCAGGAGGCTTGGCTGTGACAGACAGAAATTCTGAACAGTCTCAGAATGTGAGACACAGAATGTGAGACACAGCTGAGTGGGGGAAGATTTCCCCATGATTTTTGAGGCAGAATTTCACTCTTGTTGCCCAGGCTGGAGTGCAATGGTGCAATCTCAGCTCACTGCAACCTCCGCCTCCTGGGTTCAAACAATTCTCCAGCCTCAGCCTCCCAAGTAGCTGGGATTACAGGCATGTGCCACCATGCCTGGCTAATTATATATATATGTTTTTTTTTTTTTTTTAGAAGAGATGGGGTTTCATCATGTTGGTCAGGCTGGTAAAACTCCTGACCTCAGGCGATCTGCCCATCTTGGCCTCCGAAAGTGCTGAGATTATAGGTGTGAGCCACCATACCCGGCCTCCCCACGAGTCTTTAATCCATGTAGGCTTAGCCCCACAGTTGTTCGGTGAGCACACACATGACTATTCAAGACTGGAGTCTGATTTGTGCACCTCTGTGTTCAGCCCCTGCTAAAAAAGGGCTGGGAGCGGCGTGCATGGGAGGGCTTGCTTCATTCTGTGTGCCTGGCCCCCAGCAGGGTACCCCTCCTGCCAGATGTGTAGGCAGGCAACTGGCCTCCTTCCCGGACTGAGAGCTCCCTGAGTGCCAGGCACAACCTGCTGCCGCCTTCCTGTTGCCTCTGTACACAGCAGAGGCTTGTTGGAAGGAATTCCTGGGTCCCTCTGAAAATGTTCAGGCAACAGTCATGTATGAATCAATCTAGACCTTTTTTGGCATCTGATTATGTTTTCAACTTGCACCACCTCTTGGGGACACTGAAGTCATAATTCTTCCATTCCCTACGTGTCCCAACCAGGCAGGAGCTGCGTGGCTACCTAATCTCTTCTGGGTTTGTGATAAATGGGCGAGTGCTGAAAAAGAAAGGCAAACAAGCTGCTTCTCAAAAAAGTAGGGAGATGCCCTCTACAAGCCCTACACAGAGCGGAGAATGGGCCCTGCCAAGGCTGGGGAGAGAGCCTCGGGGAGGATACTGTGTCCAGGGGCCTCACCCTTACTGCACCCACCCTCCTCAGCAGTGCCCTGAAGACCTGAACTTAGCCCTGTGTGTGGACATCTATTGGAGAATGCGCTAAGTGCCCAGAAGAGAGACCAGGGAGATATTGGCAGCAGGGCAGGATGACAGAGGGGACACCGCCGCCATCCAGCCTCCTCCTTCCGTCTGGTGCTTAGGCACCCAGGTGCCACACACTTCCTGTGCTGCCCAAACCAGCGCCAGCTCCGCTCTAGAGGGAAGTAAGCGAACACACACAGCAGAGGCCTGGGAACAGCCAGGGAAGGAGGAGAGGCCAAACCCAGCGTCTGAGTGCTTTCTTTTTCGGAGGTGCTGCGAGGCATGAGAAAGCGAGCAGCAATGGCTCTCAGTAGCTCTCAGTAACCTTAGCAAGCGCCAGCGCTCAGCAGCCGCCCTTCCAAAGAGGGGTCGCTGGCAGCTGCAGCATCAGGCAGAGTTGCAGCATAGGACGCTTTTTATAGCGCTGCTTGGCTTCACAGTTCTCCAACACAGATGAGCTGGAGGGTGGATGGTTTTAAGATCCATTGTGTATCATGAAAGCACGTGGCCTGTCTTCCTAAGAGTTTCTGCATTTCCAACTATTTAATCCACAATAGAAAAAATCTAGAAAAACTAATGCAGTTAGAGGATAAGGTTTTCCTTGTGCCAGTGTGTTCATATCCTCCCCCGCACCAAAAATGACTCCCCCGGGCACCCCCTCTCCACCAGAATGTAGTATGGTCTCTTAAAACAAAAACAAAAGCAGCAGAGCCAGAGATAGAGCAGAAAAAGTAAGATGTGACATTCCTGCGACCTTTACTGCCTCAGGTCCTTTTCCAGGAGCAAATGAGCATCGTGCACCCATAGGAATAGTGCAGCATCCACGGAGGACCTGGGCCGACAGTGCTCTGAAATCGGTTTCGTGAAAGCATCTGTGAGTCATCCCTGTTCAAGAATGTTTTCATTAAGATTCAGCAGAAGCGATGTGCTGGGTCAGCAAGTACAGCCGCAAAACCGGGGCCTGCCAGCCTGGGCAACACAGCAAGACCCCGTCTCTACTGAAAATAAAAATTAATTAACTGGGTATGGTGGCGCATGGCTGTAGTCTCAGTTACTCAGGAGGCTAAGGTGGGAGGGTCGCTGGAGTCCAGGACAAGGCTGCAGTGAGCCGTGATCGTGCCACTGCACTACAGCCTGACCCTGCCTCAAAAACAAAACAAAACAAAAAACCCTGAATGCAAAGTGAACGCTTGCTCCTGTTCATCGAAGCACTTGCATGACAGGCCTGCATGGGTCCTGGCATCTGCCTGCAGACAAGGCCATGTCATACAGCAGCACATCCTCAGTCCAGCAGCGGGAGCTGCCTGCGAGGCGAGATGGTGATTAAACAGCTGCACGGCAGCAGGAAAGCTCCATCTGCCTCTCACTCCATGCCCTTCTGAGCTGCTGCAGAGATGCTGGGGGTCGCCTCCACACGCAGGCCTGCGTTCTAGCTAATGAGAGCCAGGAGACGGCTGAGATAAAGCAGAGTCCTCATGAGTGATCTGGAAAAACCCACTGCACTTTAAAACAGATCCTTAGATTCTGGGCTTCACCTCATTCAAGGAGGACATTGTATATGGAGATGAGAAAGAACAAAGAAAAATAGTTTTCAAAAGCTACCCTTTAATTCCCTGAGAAGCACAGCTCTCAGTGTCTACAAAAGGTTTAATCTGTGCTTGGTTGGTGGACAGAATAGTGCATGTGCTTGGCCCAGCATCCTACTCTGTGACATTCTAACCACATGAGCATATTGGGCAGTTGCCTGGGACCGGGGGCCGGTGCTGTAGCCATGACCTTGTGGCTAGTCCCTCCATGTGACCAAGCTGAAAGGCATTAAGTGGATTAAGCCAGTCTAAGTAACACGGAAGGTGCTCTTCCTCTTTTGCAGAACAAGGCTCTCATTTTCAGCTTTAAGGCCCCTTATTTTCCACTTCTGAGAGTCAGGACTATTGTCTTGGATTTCATTGAGCCAGCGCCCAGCACACCCAGCGGAGCTAGAGAACTCTCAGTCTCTTGCTGATGGCCTGAGAAAGATAGGGACCATGGGGGAAAGCAGGCCAGGCTGTACCCCTGGGTCAGAGGACTGGGAATTTCTAGGCGTCACCTGGCCTGTGACATCTGTGCATCTTTGGGGGCCAGGATCCCAGCAGTTGGCCCATGATGACACAGGGCTGGGGTAGGAGCCAGGCATTAGAGCCACAGAGCTTCTCCTGTACCTCAATCTCCAACAGCTGCAACTCTGTCCTTAACACATGCTGATAACAAAGTGGATGCAGCTAGTTTGAAGTCTGCTTATTCAGCCCGTATTGAATGAATGAGCAGTGAAACGCCTAAGGTGGGCAAAAATGAGCAATAGTCCCAGAAAAAACACAAATGGAGTGAATATGCAGTGGCCTATGCTTTACCAACCAGTAAGCATGACCACCTTATGCCATGGATATGGAGTCTGTTTGGGATGGGCTGAAGGCCTCCCGGTCCGGCAGAAATAGGCGAAGGACCCCTCTCCCCATGGTGAATGGACAGGCTCCAGGAAATCCCAGAGGTCATAGATTTGAGAAGTGAGGTCTAAAATTCCACTGGGGTACAAGACACAGAGAAGATAAGTTTATTATAGGGACCCCCAGGACCAGGCCCATGGCTAGGGTGGAAAGATTCCAGGGTGCTATCAGAGGGCAATACTTCCATCTTGGAGTCAAGTTATCCACAAACAAATGCGGGAATGCAGAAGGGGGCTGGAGGCGAGAACAGAAAGTTTCAGGGAAGAACAAGTATAAAATAACGAGGTGATTTATATAATTTATTGTATACTTCAAAGTAGCCAGAAGAGAAGAATTGCAATGTTCTCAACACAAAGGAAAGATAAATATTTGGGATGATCGATATCCCAGTTACCCTGATTTGACTGTATATCGTATAGAGGCATCAAAATACCATATATACCTCCAAAATATGTACAGCTGTTACATATCAATAACATTTTCCAAATAGAACTTTAAAAAGTACTTTGTGATTTAACATTGAAGCGAAGAAAAAGAAGAGTTTATATCTGTTCTGTAAAATCTATTCATTCATTCAATCACTCATTCTCCTGTGAGTTTCTACAAAAATTTCAAGTTCCACATCTACATACCTACTATGGAGAAAGAGGGCTCCTAGAGAGACCATGGAAAGGAAACACAGTTGGTCATTGTATTTTAAGCTGTGGCTTCTAGTCACTGCAAGGTACTTTCCATTGGCTGATGCGAATAAACATTCAAATAGACATTCAGAAAACTGGTCCTGCTGGGTGTGATGGCTCACACTTGAAATCCCAGCACTTTGGGAAGCCAAGTCAGGCAGATCATTTGAGGTC